GTGTCGGGATCTCTTTGGGGTTTAAGCCTGCCTCTGAGAGTGTCGGGATCTCTTTGGGGTTTAAGCCTGCCTCTGAGAGTGTCGGGATCTCTTTGGGGTTTAAGCCTGCCTGTGAGAGTGTCGGTTTTATTGTCCAGTGACTGATCAGTGACATTTGCCTCTGTTTAAGAGTGGCCATTGCATGTAATTCAAGAGAAGAATAACAACAAAAGAAAACAGAAGACAAAACCCAGAATACAAAAGTGAAAACAAGTCTGTGAGCAGTGGCTGTGCTCCAGTTCAGTCTTCTTCACACTGATGTCTTTAAAATACTATGGGTTTTTTACTATTACTATTGAGAAAAATTATTGACTGCAGCTTTGTCTTCAACCCACAGCTCCTGTGACTCTGGACCCGAACACTGCACACACCAAGCTCTCTGTGTCTGATGATCTGACCAGCGTGAGACACTCTGGAGTTAAACAGCAACTTCCTGACAGTCCAGAGAGATTCTACCCCTGTCCATGTGTGCTGGGCTCTGAGGGGTTTAACTCAGGAAAACACAGCTGGGTGGTGGAGGTGGGGGACAAAACTGAGTGGACTGTAGGAGTAGCAAAAGGATCTGTTAACAGGAAGGGGGGGATTATATGCAGCCCTGAGGATGGTTTCTGGGTTTTAAATCTGAAGAATGGTGATGAGTATAAAGCAGGCACCTCACCAGCAACCCCCGTCAGCGTGGAGCGGAAACCGCAGAGGATCAGAGTGCAGCTGGACTATGACAGGGGGGAGGTGTCCTTCTTCAACCCCACTGACATGTCACTCATCTACACCTTTAAAGACACGTTCACTGGGAACCTGTTTCCATTTCTCTGTCCATATCTGAATAATAATGAAAGCAACACTGGAGCCCTGAAGATCTGCCCAGTAAAGGTATCTGCGACAGTAATATCATTCCAGTAAATGTGTCTGTGACAGTGATGCCATCCCAGTGTCAGAGCGTCTCAGATACTCTGTGAAGTGGGTAAGCAGGGAAGTCCTGGGACGAGGTGAAGTATCTGTCACCTGGTTAGGGTTGGGGTTATACTGTAAGGAGTGGGAAAGGTATTAAGTAAAAGTTACCCATTTTCTTAGCTAGGTTTTCCTATATTGGTTAGTGTTGTATGAAATTGTTTGTATTCATTGTGTGCTTGCTGTGTGGAGTGATTCTTTCAAAACCCTGATTGAAAGGGGCCCAAGAGTTTGTTTGTCTCAAGGTAGGTAGCCAGTTGTTGCTCAACAACATTTTGTACAATTTTCATTTGAAAAGAACAGCAGTTTTGAGATGGGTCCACAGTTCTTTATAATGGAGGGGTCGAGATTAGTTTTTTTTCAACAACTGCACACCTGAAAGCTACTGCGCTTCACCTAATATTCTGTGAACTTATTAACAAAATATAATTATGGGTTTTCGGCTGTGACTACTGTATATAGTACACATTTAGCGTCCACTTTTTCCTTTAATAGCAAGCAGTTAGCAAAATGGTTAAAATAATTGATATTTATACTTTTTCTTGTCTATGATATTGTAGCACTGGTGAGATGTCTCTGCATTGCAGGCTCTGTTAGCATCTCCTGGCATACTCTCGAACCTTTTATATAGCTCCTATGTGTCATGGACCCGGACGGGTTTGGTACGGGAACGTGGCATGACACGGGCACAAAAAAGGTGGACGACCCACTGGCAGCTCCGAGAACAACAAACGGGGTTTATTTAAGTGAACTAAAAAACACAAGAAAGGACTAACAAAAACAAAGGACCCAGGGGGGGGGGGGGGTCAAAAGTAAACAAAGACTACTAAAAAAAAACAGGGCAGGTAACATCTAACACAGGGAATAATAATCAAGCACAAATAACAGAACCTTCACAATAAAACATCTACCATCGAGCAACAACAATGAACCACTGGGGAACTGAACAGAAGCAGGAACTAAAATACTAAGGGGTAACGAGACTAACACAGGACAGGTGAGGCTAATTAACAAAGACCAGGAAAACGGGGCACAGATGAAACTAATAAACTCAAAGGAACTAAAAACAGGGAAACTAAGAACTAACCAAGGAAACATAAACTAACACTGGGGAATTACAGACAGGTAAAGACACAAGCAGGGGTACAAGGAACACAACCAAAAACCAAATACAAAATCACCAGATACAAGAACTACTCAAGTGAAAAACTCAAATGAAACACAGGGAGCCAAATACAAAAACAGAGGAGGCAGGATTTGAACACAAAACAAGGATCACAGGCTCAACACATTGAGCCACGTGGCCAAACAGATAATAGGGGAGAACAAAGACTAACATGAAGGACGGGATGACCAGCGACACCTGCTGGCCAAACGGGGAAGGGACACAGGGTGGGACAACAGGGGCTGACCCTGACACTATGTATGTCTGCTTGGGTAACACATAATACTGTTCCGTAGTTAACAGGTAAATATGCAGGAAGTAAGCAGCAACAAAGGAGTAGTGCTTCATTAACACATAAATTAGTACTATTAATTACTAAGGAGTTATGCTTAATTACTAAATAATTACTTAATAGTGAACTGATTATTATAGTAGTTCGCTAGTACTTCATTGGGAACTATTGAGTATTGCAGGTCTCATTGGGAATTATCTACTATGGATTATTTCTAATAACTACTAGGTCATTACTCGTCAAATGAACAGTGCATTTTTTTGCACTAACTGGGACGTACTGTATAGGCTACTGTTCTCAATGGTTTTGGCATTTTTTCTTTTTGGAATAAAAGGCTTGTTTCTTCCTACTTGTTTGTATGACATACAACTTATTCTACAAAATGTTACTGCCTAAAATATGTATACAGTACCTACATTTTAATTATTTACCTCACTTCAGTCTGTGCGCCAGTGTATTTCAAACTGTGCTTTTAAGTCCAACTGAAGGGATGGTCAATCGGAGACTCGTGTTTTGCCACATGATGTGCTCCACCACATATTGTTGATCTTTTCTAAACATTAAGAAATTAATGTATGTATTTTAAATAAGGAATGAAGTCTTACTAATGACCTAAATAAAACTAATTGTAACATTAGTAATGAATGTGGCATTACTGACTTCTTCCACAGGAGCTACTAAAGAACAAGAACAGTATTATAAAGTGAAACACACTGTAACTTATTAGTAATGATGGTGCCTCTGGTTTACTCCCTCATCTGTGATGTATTTAAGTGCCTCCTCATCCTGAGCTCCCCAGTCTGCTCATTGTATTCTTATGTGTGTGATGTTATGTTGTAGCTGCCTGCCTGTGCTCCCTGGTCTGCCCTGTGTTACAGTCTGATCATTTTTGGCCCCCTGTGCTCCTTTTCCTTTCGCCTTACCTGCCGTTTTGTCTAAATAAAGCCCCTTTTGATTTTCCCCATCTTTGCCTTCGCTTCCTTTCTTCCCGCTATGTGACAAACTCTCTGCCGACCACAGAATTTGAATCGGTGACCTTCTGATCACGAGCACAGCATCCTCACCCACTACCACAACAGAGTCTTGTAACAGCGCCATCAGGCAAGACATTAGCAAAAAATCTTTTTACCTCCTGTACATGCTGTTTAAAGTCTATTCAGAAATTGAATTTATAAGTTATGCAAGAAATAGCAATTGTTATAGTCAGTTTTATTATTTTTAAAAGCTAAGAATGCATTCACTTAGAGGGCATTAACTTTCCTACTAACTTTATATTTTGTGTTCAAAACGTCAGTCATAACATGAAACTGTATAAATATAAATCTGT